AAAAAAAAAAAAAAAATTTTTTTTTTTTCTAGATTGGGCTGGGTAGTGGTGCCACCTTGTGGCCACACTATTATTATCTTGAATGTAAGAACTTTTCTTAAAGCTCCATGTGTGTGCTCTTAAAGTTTATCATCTCTGTCATGGAATAATAAAGTCCTAAACACCCTTAATGTCTCAGGGTAGAGAGGGGCCTTCAGGGATGCTCAGTCTCTTCTTGATTACTTCTAGCCATGGGGAGCTCCCTTTCTGGAGGAGAAGGCTGGTGCCACCTTTATTATGCCTGCCAGAATTCTGCATTACAGGGAGGGAGAAACTGAGGTCCAGGGAGGTTGTGAGGTCTGCCCAAAGCTGCTTTTGCAGAAGATGCTGATTAACTGGATAAATTCCTTGTGTTCGTGGTCAGTTTCGTTCACTGCTGTAGGCTCAGCATATATTAAGCTCCTCAGTAAACATCTGTTCAGTGAATGAATGAATGAATGAATGAATAAAACTATCAGCCCATCCACCAGCAGTTGTGACCCAATCACTCATTCTCGATAATTAGAACGACAGCTGGCATTTTTCTTGTGTATGTGTGTTTTGTTTTTTAATGTAAACTCTACACCCAATGTGGGGCTTGAACTCAGGACCCTGAGATGGAAAGTCACATCCTCTACCGACTGAGCCAGCCAGCTGCACCAACAGCTCGTTTTTCAAGGTCTTCCTACTTTCCAGGCACCGTTCCAAGCTCCATTTGTACATCAATTTATGTAAAGCTCACCACGACCCTGGGAGTTAAGAGAGGTGTGATCATTAGTCCCCATGTTACAGATGGGGAAACTGAGCCTCAGAGTTTAACCGACCTCCTCGAGATTACACAGCTAAGAAGTGGCCCGACCAGGATTTGAACCCAGCGCGACTGGATATTCCCAGAGGCATGCAGCAGAGGAAGAAAACTAGCTGGGAGTTGTAGGTTCCACGTAAACCAACGAGGTGGGGAAGCTGGAGCTAATTACTCGCCCGCCCTTGCGGGGAGGGGCCTGTGCTGTCAGCGTTAATCCCTTGTAAAGATTTTAGGTCCTTCCACCATCGCTGTGGGGCGGGGGGCTCTCTGGGTGGTTCAGCTTGAGGTTGGCCAGGAGGAAAATCGAAGTCACTGCTCCGTGCACCTCACTCCCAGGGGCAGGCTGGCACCGCTAGCGCCGCTTCTCAAGGGTTTGCCAGCAATCAAGTCTGGCTCCTCCCATTTGCTGCTCCCGCATCCAATCATCGGCGCCTCTCCTCCTCGCCCCGCCTCCCCAGCGCGCCTTTGCCCCCGCCCAATTCTGGCTTCCGTCCTCTCCTGCCTGGACCACTGCAGTCACCGCCGCGGGTCTCCGCTCTCCCAGAAACCCAGCTCTGTGCAGACGCCTCCGGGGCGCTTACTGCAAAGAGAATGAAGTCTGAACTCTGGCTAGCATTCCAGACCTGCCACCAGCCGCGCCAACCCACCTTCCTGCTTTCTTTCCAACCAGCCTCTTAATCTCTTTGTATGTCTACACTGCCTTGTTCCACACACAGGATGGAGGCGGCTCCTGACCAAGATTCATCCTGCCAAGACGGTCCTTGGGCCTCAGAGGTCCAGCACCAAGGACACGGTCCCAGGAAGTCCTTCTTTTGGACCTGGTCTCTGAGTCCTTGGAAGCGCCGCAGCATCTTCCCTGTGCCCTCCCGTCAGTCCTCACCACCAGCTGTAAAGAATGGCTACTAATATGGCCAGGGCTTGTCCCTACCAGACTAGGGGTCACTAAAGTCTGCATACAGGAGCTATACTTCTCTCCAATCCAAGTCCAGGTCATACCCATGGATGGGTATGTCCAAACAACTGCAAGGAGCGACGTCCTGGAGCTGGGAAGTACACGACAGCGCAGAGCCGCCAAGAAGGGAAGGCTGTGTCCACTGGGGAAACCACGTGTGTAGTACACAGTCCTTGTCGCTAGAGGGCGCAAGGTTAGACTCCCGGCACCGCTGCCTCCCAGCCTGGGCACAGCCTTCACAGGGTATGAACGCGCTCAGTTGCAAAAGGAGGATTTTCCATGGATTAGAAATAATATATGTAAATTGCCTGGTACATGGTGTTTACAGCGATGTGTGTGAGGAAGAAAGGGTCAGAGTCCTCACCCACACCACCAGCTCCGCGGTGTCTCAATGGAGAATGTGGGGGGAACCAAATGGCATGGGGGGCAATGATACCAAACCCATAGGGTCATTGTGAGGCGGTCAGGTGCCCGGCCTGGCACGTAGTAGGTACAACACCCCACCTCGTATATTCATTTAGAACCACTGGTTTTGTTTCTTTCCCCTTCTTCTGGGCCGAGCTAGGCTGGGGTCCAGGAAAGGGCTGATGCCGGCTCACTGTGAGGATGAAGAGGGCTGACAGGAGGCAAGCCCAAGGGACCAAGGTCAAGACTGGAAGTGCCTGGTCTGGTGGCCCACCCAAGGCCCACAGAAGTGGGCGCCCAAGGAAAGAGGTGGGAGCCAGGAAAGCAGGAGCCACAGCACACAACACCGCAGGAAAGTGAGAGGGTCACTAGGCCCCAGGGAGGGTGTGCTGGGGGAGGGGGAGCTCACTGTGCAGCCCGACCCCCTCCCCCTAGGCCTCAGCAAGGGCCCCTTGGGGGTACCCTGGGTCAGCAGAGCCCCCACCCCCACCCCTAGTAAGGAAGAGAACACAAGCATTGAACGAATTTATTCATGAGAAAACTCAGGGTCCGTCAGGGAAACAATCTGCTGGTTACAAGCTCCAGAAGCTCTTGTCGGAACAGCCGTGAGGGCCGGGGGCACCCCCAGGCAGGGGGCTGGGGGAGCTACCAGCCGCCCTGGGGTCAGAGGAGCAGACACAGGCGGGAAGGGGTCCCGAGGGGCACTCCTCACTGCCCGCCTGCCCTGTCCCCAGGACCCCACTCCCCCTCTGGGTTAAAGTGCAGCTGGGAGGGAGGTGATGGGTGGAGAGCTGCTGGAGAGCTATGGGGACACTGGCCACCAAGGACCCACCCCCTCCTCTCCCTAGTTTCTTGAGGCTCAGCCAGAGTCCACCCCACCCAGGTCCCTCTTTGGAGCCTCCCCACCGTCAGATATTTAGACAGCGCTCCCCAGGAGGGGAAAGGCTGGCTCCACCAGCTCTCCGAGGGACCCAGAACTGGGGGGGGGGGGGGGGGGGGGGGGGGAGGGGGAGAGGGAGGGACACTCTGGTGATGGTCTGGGAGCCCTCCCCTCTCCCTGGCCCAGGAAGGCTCCTTCCTTGCCTCCCTCCACCCCCTGGAAAGCCAAGGAAGCCAGAGAGGCCCAGAGAGCCTGGCTCCCAGCTCCAGGGCCATGAGTCAGCAGGGTCCTGCCCAGACCTGACTCCCAAGCACGCCATCGAGGGAGGGCCACTTCGGTGCCACCTGGGAGCAGCTGCCCTGGGCACGGGAGGCCTTTGGGGGAGCCTGTGGAGCTCCAGCTTCTCCTGTGGTCCCCCCAGCCTGGACCCAGCCCCTCCCTCAAGGCTGCTCCTGGCAAGGCGCCCCCCCACCCCCGCCGGGCTCAGGGCCCCACTAGGGGCTGTGAGGACCGCGCACCCACCTCAGCAGCGTGGCCAACCTCCTCCCCCTCCCAAAGGCACATCACTAGGAGGCAGAAAGGAAGAGAACCCCCCGCCCTCCGAAAAAGAACCCTGAAGATCCACTGCTCCCTCCCCTCACTCGTGAATATATTAAATTGTGCAGCTTGGCCCCCGACCCCTCCCCTCGGATCTCCACGGCAACCAGAGAGCATTCCAAGTCCAAGTCTGAATCCAAGTCCGTCCAGTGACAAAGGGGGGCTTCAGCCTTTCTCCCCACCTTTCCCCCAAGGGTGACACCCAACATTCCGCAGGGGACAAGAGGGGAGGAAGAGTCGGGGCCTCAGTCCTCAGCCCCCTCTTCCTCCGCGTGGGGGGCCCCGGGCGGGTCCTCGGGCTCAGGGGTCTGCCCTCCAGGGTGGGGGTGGGGACGGGTGCCCGGCTGGGAGCCCGGCGCGTCCTCGCCCTGCACGTAGACACTCAGCCCGTGACTAGGCTCCTTGCCACATGCCTGGCAGCTACAGTGCAGGATCTTCTCCACCAGCTTGTCCACCCTGGGCACCTCCTCGTGGCCGGGGCACTCCAAGGTCACCTGGGGAGGGCAGGAGAGAAGAGAAGACATGTTTCCAAAGGCCCGGGGCTGGCAGGGAGGCCCCGAGGGCCACATTCTTCACGGGACCAGCAATCCCAGAGACCCCAGAATCCCTGAGCCCACCCGAGATACCCCAGTTAGCTCTGTGGGCCCCTCCACTGGGGGTGGGGGTGAGCCCCTGCAGGTCCCACCCAAGCTGTCTCCTCACACCCAGTCCTGCCGCCTCCCTACCATTCCCTCACAGAGGCCTGAGGGGAAAACCCAACATGGCCTGCCCCTGCCTAAAATTCCCCTCAGTGCTCCCCAGTGCACTTAAAGAAAAGTTCAGACTCCTTACTAAGGCCCCGCAGGACCCTCAGGCTGCCTCCAGCTGACCTCTCTGCCCCTGACCTTGAGCCCCTCCCCACCGCCAACTCTGAGCTGCCTGATCTGAGACTTTGCACATGCTGTTCCCTCTGCCTGAAAGGTCCTTGCCTAACCCACCCCTACCACCCGCACCAAACTGGCCCAGTTAACTTGTACGCAACCTCTGGATCTGTGCTCAGACATCACTTCTTCAAGGAGCCCAATCCCAAACCCCCAGCCCAGCCTAGGTCAGCCCTACTGAGCCCTCCAGGGTTTTGCTCTTCTCCGAAGGTCACACTTTTCCAACGGCCTTTCCTTTTCCCTTCCTTCCTTCCTTCCTTCCTTCCACGGAGCACCTACTCCCTGCCAGCTCTGGGGACACAAGGACAGGCATGATTCCTCAAAGAATTCAGAGTCTAGTGGGGGAAACAGATTTGTCAAAATCACCCAAATGCAGATGGAAAACTGTGACAGGAGTCAAAGCAGAGGCACACAGCGGTCAAGGCGGTGGGATAGGGCCCCGAGAAAACGCTGCTGAGCCACAAGCGGAAGAATAAACAGACGTTCACTGGGTGAGGAGGAGAAGCAAACAGGGAAAGAGCATGTGCAAAGGCCCTGTGGTGGCAGCAAGAAGAGTAGGCATGAGAGACTGAAAGAAAGTACACTGATGTCAAGTGTCGAGCTAGTAAAGGAGATGAGAGAGGCCAAAGCTCAACAGACTGGTGAGCCAGGCCATGCCAGGCACTGTGGGTCACGACAAGGAGTTCGGTCTCATCTTAAGACAGTGGGAAACCACTAAAAGGACTTCAGAATGTGACTGACATCAGAATGGAGCTTCAAGAGATCCCTTGTCCTGTACACGCTGGTGTCAGACTCATAAGCCATCACGTGGCAAGGACCACACGTGTATCCCCAGCACAAGCCCTGGACCCTGCACACAGTGGGGCCTTACTCATAAGCACTGGGGCCAAGGCCCGGGAAGTCTCTGCGGGGAGGCTGGGCAGGGGCGGGCAGCCATACTCACAATCTCCCACATGGACTGGGCCGGCATGCAGGAGTCACAGTGAACCAGGGACTCCGTAGACTGTGGGAAGGTGTTGGGAACGCTGTAGCTGAAGCACTGTCCTAGGCAGGCCCTGTAGGAGGAGACGGTCACGGCGCCCGTGACACCATGGCGGAGGCAGGGACGGGCGGCCAGCCCTGTCTCCGCCTCCCTCCGGGCCTCTGGACGCATCCACTCCCCTCACACCCCCGGGGTTCCCACCTGTTCTGGATGGACTTGGCCTCACAGCCGCTGTGGCCCACGATCTGGGTGATGTTCTTGGCCTCACACCAGGCACTCTTGTCCGGGAACAGTGCCAGCTTGTTGATGGGCGGTGGGGCGGCCAGCAGCATCGCGGGGAGGAAAGCCCCAACCAGGACCCGAAGCATCATGCCCGTGGCCTCTAGAGCCCTGGAATGGAGCGCAGACAGTAGGTGAGGCCAGCAGGGCCCAGCAGGCCGTGGGCAGAGCAGACGGTGGTGTTACATGCATGGGCTCTGACCCCTGGCTGCCGGGGCGCAAATCCGAGCTCTACCGCTTACCAGCGAAGCACGACCTCAGACAAGTTACTTCTCCTTTCTGAACCTCGACAACGGGGCTGCTGATAGATGTGCATGGGGCGGGGGTCACAAAGACGAGCTGCAAAGCCCTCGGCAGTGAGGCTGGCAGGTAACACACATTCCACGTGCGTGACTTTCACAACTTACTGTGCAGCTTTGAGCAAGTCACCTTTTATGTCTGTGCCTCAGTTTCTTCATCTAAGAAATGGGGATGGTGAGACCGGATGGCAAAGGACGAGTGCCCAACGTGACGCAGAGTCTCCAAGCGCGTGGTGAGTGTTGAGCAAGCGTTAGCTCCCTCCTTGCTGTGATGCTGTGGGCCCTCCGGGAAACACAAAAGACTGCCCCCTCAGCGCCTGCCCTCCAGGGGCTGGCCACCCAGCACGTCTCCAGGGCATGCCGCCCCGGGGGTCAGCCACCAGGAAAACCTTCGTCCGTCACCGTGAAGTCTGGGGCCGCCCTGGCTGGCTGGGCGTCGGGTGAAAGAGCTAACCTTGGACCAGACCATTTATTCTTTGGCTGCCCCACCACAGCCTCAAGCCCTGAGACGAATGTGTATTCGTCTCCCAGCTCCATCCCAACCTCCGAGGCACGCCAAGCCCAGCGCTGGACCCTCTCTGTAAACTGGACGGAAGGAGACAGTAATACCAGAATTTGCCAGAAGATGGCGCTGCAGGGCAGCGTGTGTCTGAAGGATTCCACTCAGAGGGGGCTCTCCCGGTGTTTGTTCCCCAACTTCATCTTCTGTAGACTTCGCCCTCTCCCCCACCTCCAAACGTGTGGATGAGGGAGGATTCAGAGCGGCTAGGAAATGAGGTCAGTGCCTGCAAGGGGGTTTCTGGGGACAGGACACGAGAAAGGGCACTGGACAGGGAGCCAGGAGTGCTCGTGCCTGTGCGACCCTGGACACCCAGGCCTCAGCGTCCCCGTCCAAAAAAATGAGTGAAATGCCCTGGACCACTGGTTTCTAAACCTGGTGAAGCATGAGAATCCCCTGGGGGCTTGTGGGGTGAGGTTCTAGATCGGAGTGAGCCTCTAGGAAGCTCCCGAGGTGCTTCTGGTATGGAGCCGGGCTTTCGGTCCCGGATTCGGTGTCTTCAGACACCCCCAAGAGGGGCCTGGGGGTGGCTGACTCGGGATCAGGGGCCAGGTGCTGTCCCCCAGGCACCGGAGGGGAACATCGCATTCAGAACGACCCTACCCTCAGCCCACCTCCTGCAGAAAGTGGCAGGTCCTTGGTGAGAAGCCCAGGAAAGGGGAGGGAGTGTCCCGGAAGTGCCCCAAGGAGGGAAAACCTAGGTGGGCTGGCTCCGCTGGGCTTTCACGGAGAGCCTGGGCCAGCCTGCAGGGCTGTTCTGTCTGTTGTCTCCACCCAGAAAGTTCTGCTCAGCCCCTTCTCCCTGCCGGAGGTCTCCAGGAGAAGAGACAAGCCCCATGTCACTGGACCCCAGTGCCTGGGTGACCCCTGCTCCAGCCAGTGGGGAAGGGGGAAGGGTGTTCTGCCCCGTCCCAAATGTGTTTGTGTCATGACCCCAGCTCTCACCCACGCATTTCCGGTCTCACTCATAAGATGGGCAGCGAAGCCCATGTTTTCAGTACAACCACATCCCAACAAAACAGAATGGGCTTGTTCCTAACTGGCAACCAAACTAATTTTTCAACAAGCTGCACATCCAGGAGGCTTCCTGACCCCACCAGGTCCTCTCCCGTGTCCAGGGAATTGGCCTCTGAGTCAGGGTCTGACCACAGCCCCCCAGGAGGGGGCCCTGGAGGCCCACTTGAGGCCAGAGCTCCCTAGGCCTCCCCAGGCTGGACCAGCCCCTCAGAGACCTCAGAGAGGTCTGGGGACTTTGTCCTATACCTGACCCTATGGAGAGTCCTCAGGAAGATCGGGTCCAGGCCAGGAGGGGACTGGGGCCGGGAGTGGTGTTCACTGGGAGTTGAGACTGGGGTTGACTGGAAGCAGCCTGGAGCCCAGCTGGGTCTGCTTTGCAGTTCAGTTTGGTGAGGGGGTTGTGGGGGCTGGAATGGAGGCCATGGGCTGGAACCAGGCTACAGGGGGGCAGAGCTGTGATTGGGGGTGGGGTTAATAAAACAACGTTTATTAGGAGACAGGGCAAGGGTGAGTTTTTGTTGGGAATCAGGGGCCTGGAGCATGGGGACTGGTTATTAGGGTCAAGTTATAGCAGAAAGT